TCTATTTCAAATGGTATTTTTCTTTACAGCTTCAGATCGTCCATGTAAAGGTATAGTCGGGCAGATGTTTTTAATGTTTGATAGTCATGACCTGAGTTATTCAGTATTGTTGGCAGAGGAAACAGTGCAATGACAAATAGTAGTGGTGATAGTGAGTCTCCTTGAAATATTCCTCTCTTCATATTAACCTCTCCTAGTCTCTCACCATTGACCTGCAACTGTGTCTTCCATTGTGCCATTGATATTTGCACAAAGTTTCTGATCTTTCTACTGGTTCCTATTATTTCTAGGCACTTGATTATCCAGTAACGAAGCAGAGAGCTGAATGTCTTTTTGAGTCAATCCATGCTATATTCATGTTGGTCTTCCTTCTCTTGCAGTTTTCCAAAATCATTTTGTCAATTAGGAGTTCATCTTTTGTTCCTGTGCTATTGGAGCAGTTTCCTTTCTGCTCAGGAGAAAAAAAGATTGTTTTCAACTAGATTCTGTTGGATTGCATTAGCTACCAGACCACTTAGCAATTTGAAAGTTGTTGATAACCAAGTAATTGGCCTGTGGTTGCCTGGTGCTGCCCGTTTTGCTAGATCTTTCATTATCAGGAAGGCTTTCCCCCATGTTAGCCAATATTCAATTTCACCTCCTTGTAGTATGTTTTTAAGCTGCTTGGCAATGAGTGGGTACAGTTAGATGTTTCAACCAAAAATCATGCAGTTCCATCTTCACCCGGTGCTAAACAATTCTTGATTTTCTTTGTTCTTTTCTCTACCAATTCTGCTGTTATTACTAGTTCTTACATTTCAACTTCTTTTTTATTCTCATCTATCTCTTTTAATCAAGCTGCATCGTTGTATTCCTTTGGGTCATCCCATATCTGCGCCCAGAACTGCACTGATTCTTCTTACATTGTGCTTGATATTTCAGCTTGAAGGATGCCCAGGTATTTATAATGATCATTTTCATCCAGACTTTTGATATTATTTCATAGGTCATCTTGATTCCATCAGTTTTCACTATTTTTCCATGTTTAATGATAAGCAGAGCATATCTGTCCAGTCCAAAGTCCACTGCAATATTTTGGACAGTGTTGAGCAGAGATGCTATTTCAGATGGTGTTTTTCCATATAGCTGCAAATTGTCCATGTAAAGCAGGTGGGGTAGCCTGGCAGATGTTTTTGATGTTTGAGAGCCATGGCTTGAGTTTTTCAGTATTGTTGATAGAGGAATCACTGCAATGACAAACAGTACTTCCTTTAACCAAGCTGCACCTTTTTTGAACTTCTTTGGGTTATCCCATATCTGCACCCAGAACTGCACTGTTTCTTCCTCGTCAGGTACTGAATGATTCACTGCAGTCTCTCCATTGGTGGATTGGTAGAACTGCTTCTGATTGGATTGAAATTGGAGGTTCTGTCTATAATTTGTACTTCAAGCTTCTTATCTGCTGATCTTCTTGGCTATAGCATTATTTGTTAATTTGTTATTTCCACTGCTCCCTTAGTCTTCTTTGTTTCTAGCTGATGTTTCTAGATCTAATATTATTTAGTCTTTTTGTTCTTTGGGTTCTTTTCTTTCATTGGTTATACTGTGCTTGCATCTAATTACAGTTTCATGATCTTATTTTCCAGCCCGATCTTCCATTTTGGTGGTGCACCGTTTGCTTTTTTTCCTCCCTCTTTGTTGATTTTACATCTCAGGTATTCAGTTTTACTGCAGCTGTGCTGTACATTAGTTGGTTTGTTTCTTGCAGTGAGCTAGTACTTATATTTGCTGTTACAATATTGGTATCATTTAATGGTTGTGCTAACTGTCTCTTTTGAACAAGCTTCAATGCAGGCCATCTTATCCTCTGTTTTTATGCTGTTCTATATACTCAGTGATTCTTTGATTCAATTCTTCTAGTTCTTTCATTAAAGAACTTTGTTGTTTCTGAGGCAAAGAATAGGCTCCACATATAAACAATTCAATAGCTGTGTTGGCTTCTTCTACTACAAATTCCCCCTGGTTTGTCTTTACAGTTTGATTTATTTCTGGCAAGGCTGCTGGCCATGATTACTCAACCAGGAGCCATGTTTTCAAAGTCCATTTTTCATCAAATGTCCAGGAACTCCAACACCTTGCACTATCCCTGTAATTTGGGCGATGATCAAGCTGGTATTTATTTCTGTAAATTATGCCTCAACATACTTTTTATGAGAGAGAGAGAGAGAGAGGGAGGGAGGGAAGGAGGGAGGGAGGGAGGGAGGGAGGGAGGGGGAGAGAGAGAGAGAGACTGTTCATCTGGCTGTGATCTGAACACATCTGAAGTGGATAAGTGTTCTCTTAACATTTTCTTCTCTATTTTGATTTGTATTCCTATTTTGTCTTTTATGATACTGCTTTTGATATGTTGGATTACTGTATATTTCTTTTTGTGTAAAAATGGAAACAAAAAAAGAATTAAGCAGTTCCGCTTCCTCCTTGCTACACATCACCTCTTTCCCATCTTCTCCTCTTAGAGGACTGATTTTTTCCTTGACCTTTTCCTTGTTTTTTATATGTTAAAAGAAACTTTTTAAAATTATTTTTGACATTTGTTGCAAGTCTGACCCTTAGTTTTCCTGACTTTGTAGATTCGGACTTTTTGCTGCTATTCTGTTTTAATTATGTGTGCCTCTTTCTATTTTTTATACTTGTCCTTTTTGTCTCTCAATTTCTCAGAGAGTTCTTTGTACATGAGCCATGCTGATTTCATCCAGGGTCTTTATTTTTTTTCTCAGTGGTAATTGTGCTAGATTGGTGTTTTATAATCTCATTTTTCAGAGTTTCCTTAGTTTTAATGCAAAAACCTTCTGTCTTGTATTTGTAAGCTTGTATTTTGCTATATTAATCCCTTCGTTTTCTACAATTGCTATTTTCACAAGCTTCATGTTAAACTGACACATTTATTCTTGGATACATTTTCTTATGGCCTTGCAAAGTTCAACATACTCCAGTTTATTAATGAAACTTCCAACATTTTTCATTGCCCGTCATTTTTTCATTAAATCAATAGTTTCATCAGAGATTTTTGATTCTACAAAGTGTTTTTCCAGAGGTGCTATAGATATACTAGATTCACTTTGGACTTTTGTTCATTTTGTTCCATAATGTTCATCTCTTCCAAATCTTGCAACAAAATGAAGCAATTTGTTAAATTAATCTCAAAATCGCTATTCTTCTCTAACTGCTTATCATTCTTTATTTTTGTTTTTCATGGCGTCTTTATCATTTTCATATGCTCTTTTCAACAGTCTATCTTCACTTCAGCTCATACCATTCTACAGTCACTTCCAACGTTAAAGCGACTGATGAGAGTATAATTGCCGAATATGGTTTTATCACTTGACATGATGTAGTCATGATGTGTACCCAGATGACTCTTCCATGTCCATTTTCTTATAAAATGAGTTCATGATATAAAGCTCCTGTCTGTAAATACCCACCTCAGCTAAGCCTCCCAAGAAAGCAGAACTCTTGAGACAGACATTATCTGAAAAGGAACTTTTATTAGGGGCTAGTGACAGCAGGGATGGCAAGGCCAGTTCTGGGGAAAAACCCATGCAAATAACATATTAAAACCAATCTTTATTACTCCTCCCCAAAGGTTCCTAGTGTCCATTTGAATTCCAGCCAATCGGCATAGTGTTTTGGTAACTGGCTCTGTTGGCATGCTCTTCAAGGTCTCTCTCGTTTGGCTCTAGGCACCAACCGTCACCCCGATAAGGGAGATGCATTCCTTCTCCTGGGGGAAGGGTACAACAGCAAAACAGTGTAAGGCAGTGATGGCGAACCTTTTAGAGACTGAGTGCCCAAACTTCAACTCAAAACCCACTTATGTATTGCCGGGTGCTGGGTGGGTGTGGCCTCTGGGTGGGTGTGGCCCACCGGGTGGGTGTGGCAGATGGGTGGGCATGGCCAGGGTGGGCATGGCCAGCTCGATGTTGCTCCTGGGGAGGGATGCCTGTGGGGGCTGGGCAGGGTTGGGGGAGATCCAGGGGTCTCTGGCGGGTGGGGCAGTGGGCAGGAAGCTGGTTCTGCAGGGTGAGGCGAGGCAGGGCGGGGGTGCCATATCGCAGGGCAAAGCAAGGCAGGGGCCGGGGTGGCTGCTGCCTGATACCATCGGTCCCCGCACACAAAGGCCAGCAAGCACATGGGTGCTGGGATGCATCCGGCCACGTGGGATCTTGGCAAGTTAGCGGGTGGCTAGTTGAAGAGGACGGTTGCTATCTCCAGGGCATGGTGTGCGTGCCCATAGAGAGGGCTCCAAGTGCCGCCTCTGGCACGCGTTCCATAGGTTCACCACCACTGGTATAAGGCATCCCAGAGCATCCCTCCTCCCAACAGAATGGCAGGCCCCAAAGAATGGTTACAAAGGCAAGCAAAGCATAGGAAGAGAAAACAATACATTTATTTGGGGACCCTGACACTGTCTTTCAGCAAAATCTTTGTGGCTGCTGATACCAAGGTGCTATAAAACAATAAAATTGATTTTATTTTACTACTGAATTTTGTATGATAACTTTTCTACCAAATATATAAAAATAATCTTAAAATTGTATTATTTATCTTTTTAACAGTCTTACTTTTTTTCAGAGGTTCCAGCAGAATTTGAAAAGAGTGAAACAGATATTTTAAACAATATTACGTAGATATTTCTTTGTTTTTATGCTACATCACATTAAGAAAAAATGCATTTTATTAACATTGAATTGACCTATAATCTTACAACTGCTTATTTTGCAATGCAAAATATTATCATATTGAATAATATGATTTCTATAAGAACTATTTTGATGTATTCAAAGAAAGCGTGCTGCTAAAAGGTTATAAAATTCCAGCGAGGGAGGATGAAGAGATGAGACAACATTCCCAATTGTGACTCCCCAAAGTCATCAATTGAAACATGTCTCTTTCTCTTCCAGAAACGAAAGAACAAGTCTTACCATCATCATAGAATTCTGTGTACATTTATTTTATTTTTTCCTCCATCACCTTTTGCTTTTTGCTCTCTTCTTCTACTTCCTATAAAACAAAATTGACGAAGCACAATCAAAATTTAACTTCCAATGCATTATACAATTTTGCTTACTGAGGTTGTTTTAATTCTCACTAGCATGTAAGATACTTACAATTTTCATTTTCTCTACCTCTTTCTGGAACCTCTGTATTTCTTCTTCTAGTTGTTTGCATTTTGCGTAATAGCTGTCCGCTCCTCCTTCACTGGCAACCTGGGGGAAGGGAGTGTAAGAGAAGAATAAGTGGCTGTAAAGGTGAACTGCTAATGTTACTTACTTAGGTAATGAAAGGTCTGGAAGAAAACAATCAAGCTCAGAGAGCACAAAGCTCCCCCCCCCCCAGTGTAGCTCCTCTATCTGGTTAAAACTGAATACATTTCCTTCCTTATACATAATATGGCTATGATTAACAGTAGCTGCTTTCTCATCACTTAGAATAATGACTAGAAAGGACCTTGGAGGTCTTCTAGTCCAACCTCCTGCCCAAAGCAGGAGTTGTTATACCATCCTGAACAAATCGATGTCCAATCTTTTCTTGAAAAGCTCCAGTGATGGAGCACCCTCGCATTGCTTCCTGTCTAGCTCTTAGATGTTTTTTTGAGAATAAGTCAACATCTTCATCTCTATGACTGTCCTTTAAGTACTATCATGTCATCCCTAATCTTTCTCTTTGATAGGCTAGGCATACAGTTTAGGCTCCAGGCCTCTTATCATCTTAGTTGCTCTTCTCTGTACTCTTTCTAAACTCTCAGCATCATTTTTTATCGTGGCGACCAGAACTGGATACAGTATTTCACATATGGCCTCACAAATGTGGTACAGAGTAGTACCATCACTTGGGATTTTTATGCAATCCCACTCTTGAGGCAGCCTAGAATTGCGTTGGCTTTTTTGGCAATTGCAGCACACTGCTGACTCATTGTTAAGTGGTGGTCCACTAAGATACCTAGATCCCTCCCATAGTTGCTATTATTGAGCCAAGTCTTTATTTTGGTTTGCGAGGCTGGTGACTTCATTTGCCAAAAAATGATTTTCCTCCTCCAGCTAAGATGCAGAAATTGCCATCAACATTCATCAATCATAGAATATAAATAAGCAGACAAAAAGAGAAACTTAAAACAGGATTGTAAGGGAAGTGAATTATTTACATCTCTGACTGTGGCACTTTTTCCCCCAGATGATTTTCTGACAGATGTCTTGTCTCCTCTTGTGCTGTATTTTATGGAAAAACGTGCTATTACACAATATTTATGAACAACGTTCCTTATTAAGCATCAATGACACAGCACTTTAAGACTGGGCATTACAAATGGCACAGTCCATTCAAAATGCAGAATCGGGGTGCGTTGTTAGTGCTGGGAAACAGATCATTTTGCATCTTTTCCCCAATAACTTAAAGGGAGTTCAGGGCCTCTCCCAAAGACAGCAGTTCTGAAGGGAGGGTTTCCCCCCTCTGGGGTGCAGAGAAGGACTGCCCTCGTATCCCCAGTCTTGCTACAGGTACCCACACAAGCAATATGGCTGGTTACTCACCCTTGTCTCTTTGATACTGGCTGAATCTCTGGAGACAGTACTGCCAAAAGAAGACAAAGGGTGAATTAAGCTCATTCTTGAAGAACAGGTCAAAGTGCTATTAAAGAAAGAACTACAAGAAAGCTGTCCTGTCTTCCCTTAATCCTTTTCCAAGCTACACTTCCACAACTTTTAATGCTGCTTCTTTGAACTTTGCAGAGATTGATAATGATGGAGAGAGCTTCATTTCTGGCTGGATTCAGATCCAACTGCAAAGCGGTTTAGCTGCTTTCTGACTGTCCGTTCTAAAGCACTTTGCAGTAATTCTGGCAAAATGCTTGGGCTATGAAGCCACATTTTGAAAAGGAAGGTAGCTCCATCGATCTATTAACAATCTTACATTGTAGCATCTGCACATCCAAGTTTTCAAAGTAATTTATATATGCCTTCTCTAAGCAAAATGTTGATTTTTTATAGTTGGGACGAAATACGGCGAATTTAGATTTTTAGCAGCAATCCTTAAACAGGTTGCTTACAAATGAAGCTGCTGAGAATAATTATTTTGCTGCCCTTGCCTCTATTTGTAAAAATCTGTCATGAATAAAAAATTAATCTTCTAGCTCTAAATAGATTTTTAAAAATAATATTAACCTTGCATATAATCCATATAATCCTTCTAAGAAACTATTTTATCTTAAAACTGGGATCTTCAGGGAACTATATTCAAATTCAATTTGAATTTTTTATATAAATAAATTTCTGGAAATGTTGCTGCTTGGAAATAATCATAGGAGGAGTCAACAAAACCCACTTGGATATACCTTAGTGAAGAGGGTTCTCATTTCTGTTTTCTGTGAAATTAAATCAGACTGACATGATAGGAGCTGGAACTGAATTCTCTTGGGATTTGATTTATTTGTTCATTTACTTGGGCGTGTGTCTATGTTGAAGATCATGTGAGAGAAAAAATAGCAAATTTCCATAGGCTATAAAATTTGCCAGATTGTATCCATATTTTTTAAAAAATGGCAGAAGACCCTCACTAACTACTCATAACCACTGTTAAGCAACAATCCTCATGACATCATTATTATTTATGTCATGTTACCTCTTTGAATCCTAAATCCTAGAGTCAGACAGGCAAGTTGAAAAGTAAATAAATAAATAAAACAGAAGATCTCTTACCTGAAAGAGGGCTTTCCCCGCGTAATAAAAAAAGGTCTCCATGATAATAGTGAACTTAACAAAACTAAAATAATCCTAAATAAATAAATAAATAAATATAAATAAATAGTATGTATAAATAGGTAAATATATTAAATAAATAAATGAATAAATAAATACTGTAAAGCAAAAGCAAAAATAACCAATGAAATAAAAATGCCCACATAAGAGAAAAACTCTTGAGTGAATAGTTTTCACTCAGCCCACCAAAAACTTTTATTTACTTCTCCTTTGTGAGCTCATGCCCCTGTCAGCACCATTATGAGGCAGGGCCTCACAAAGGAGAAGCAAACCAAACTGATTGGCTGAATGAATGCTGCTCAGAGTTTTATCTGTTTTTCAATATTGGTAGAAATGTAAGTACAAAATCCTGCTTATGCGTTTGGTGCAATCGGGATGAGCTAACAAGAAAAGTGCCACAGAAATATTAGTGCCACTGAAGGAAGCAGGGAGACATCTGGAGAAATACGCACAATTGAGAGTGAAAAAGGGCTGCAGTGGTGAATGAGAGAACTGGAGAGTTTTCTGTGCTTGGCAGAATAAATTGCAGTATGGCTCTTGCTCTACCAATCTTCAAGACAAACCCAGTATTTGAACTTAACCAATCAGCAACAGCCCTTTAAATTCTCTTCAAAACTGTCCGTATACATACACTATTGCAATATGTTGCATGACCATTATTGTTTGAATACAGTGTACTTTTCTTTACTTTTTTTCTGTCCACAGCAGAGCCTTGGTAATGTCCAGAATAAATGACAAAAAATCTATTACATTTAGGGAGCATGTGTTTATTGAGCATTTAAACAGAAAGCACAAATTCATGGCATGGGACCGCGTTATTTGAGGGATCGCCTTTTCCCGCTTATACCAGCCTGCCCTCCATCAATCTCACAGAAAAGGTGTGCTGTGGGTAATTTCACTGTACATCTACAATTGATGGGTCCTATCTGTAATCAGCGATGAACTCGTGTAAGAAATTGACAAAAAGGTCCGTGAAGTCCATTGGATTATGAGATCTGCATTTTCTTTACACTTTCCCCAAATTTCTTGGACTGTTTTGTACGATACAGTGACAGAAAATTTGAGATACTGCAAGTTCTGTGCTCCTTGGGTACCAAAACTCCTTTCTGAGGAGTATAAAACACACTGAATGGATTCACAATGCTGTTGCAGGGTGGCTTTATTCCCAGGCGGGAGATTTTTTTGCAGAAGAAATTTCAAACCTTGAATGACGATTATGTCAAAAAGTAATGTAATGTTGTAGTTTTCTAATGTATATAATAAAATTCTGTATTTGCGAGTGTCTGTCATTAATAATCAAACAGAGGTTTATTTCTGAATTGCCTTCGCATTTTAGCCTCCAATCCCCTAAAATTTTGGTTTTCCAAGGATAGAGTCTATATTTTAACTTCATGGGATAATCCAGTTTGAGAAGATTCTCAATACTGATCCCTTTTATTGTAACTTACAGTACCAGCCAGTGATTTCTACAGTGTTGAACATGGTTCTGTTTCTATTTGCATGTCTTTATATTTTGTTATCTTCAGTTTTTTCTCTTCTATTCTTCTGTCCCCAGGTACTGCCACTTTCACTAGCCAGACTTTTTTTGTCTTATCAACAAATGTTACGTTTAGAGTGTTATGTTGCGGGTGTCTGTCCATTTGAATTATATAGGTTTTTATAGTGATCATTATTCAGACTCTTCGTGTTATTTCTCTATGGTATCTTGATTGCATCAGTGTTCACTATTTTCCCGTTTCATGGTATGGCATATAAGTCCAGTTCAAAGTCCATTTTAATACTTTGGTTGCATATATGGACAATGTTGAGCGGCAATTCTATTTCAGATGGTGTTTTCCCATATAGCTGCAAATAGTCCATGTAAAGCAGTTGGATTAGCCTGGCAGATGTTTTTGATGTTTGATAGCCATGGCCTGAAGTATTCAGCATTGTTGACAGAGGAATCAGTGCAATGAGAAACAGTACTTGTGAAAGTGAGTCTGCTTGGGAAGTTCCTCTCTCATTCTGTCATCAGCAACCATGTCTTCCACTGTGTCATTGATCTTTGCAAAAGCTGATGTTTCTACTGACTCCTGTTATTTCTAAGCATTTGATTATGTCTTTCATTTAAGCTTTTTTATTCTTATTCACTTCCTTTAACCAAGCTGTGTCTTGTTGTATTTCTTTGGATTATCCCATATCTGCACCCAGAACTTCTTCCTTGTCAGGTACTGACTGATTCACTGCAGCCTTTCCAGTGATGGTTTGGTAGAAATGTTTTGGATTGGATTTAAATTGGAGGTTCTGCCTATAATTTGTAATTTGAGTTTATTTGCTAATCTTCTTGGCTATAGCATTATTTGCTGCTTTGTTATTTCCAATGCTTCTTTAATCTTCCCTGTTTCTAGGTGATATTTATTGATCCAGTATTATTGGATGAGTTAGTTTATTTCTTGCAGTGAGCTAGTGATTATATTTGTTATTACAATTTTGGCATTTTTTAGTGCTTGTGCTAGCTGTCTCTTTGAAACAATTTCAATGCAGGCCACCTTAGCCTGTGTTTTTGTGCTGTTCTACCTTCTCAGTGATTCCTTGTTTCAATTCTAGTTCTTTCATTAGAGATCTTTGTTGTTTCTGAGGCAAAGAATAGGGTCCTGCTTTCCGAATAAACAATTCAATAGCTGTGCTGGCTTCTTTTACTGTGAATTCCCCCTGGTTTGCCTTTACAGTTTGATTTTCTTCTGGTAAGACTGCTGGCCCTGGTTACTCAGTTAGCAGCCATGAGTCCTAAAGCCCATTTTAGATCAAATGTCCAGAAACTCCAACATTGTCCCTTTAACTCGGGCAATGACCAAGATGGTATGTGTTTCTGTAAATCATATCTCACCACATTTTTATCTGGCTGTGATCTGAACACATCTAGAGTAGATAGGTGTTCTCTTAACATTTTGTTGCCTATTTTGATCTGTATTCCTATATTGTCTTTGATTATACTGCTTTTGATAGGTTGGACTATTTTTCTTTTTGTGTAAAGACAAGCAAGGAAAGAATTAAGCAGTTCCGCTTTTTCCCTGCTACCCGTCAGTTCCTTGCCACCTTCTCCCATTAATGGGCTGGTTTTTTCCTTGATTTTTTTCTTTGTTTTTTTATATGTGGAAAGAAACTTTTTAAAATTATTTTTTACATTTGTTGCAAGTCTTAGTTTACTCTGATCCTTAGCTTTTCTGACTTCATAGATTCGGACTTTTTGCTGCTATTCTGTTTTAATTATGTGTCCCTCTTTCAATTTTCATACTTGTCCTTTTTGTCTCTCAGTTTCTCAGAGAGTTCTTGATGCAAACATGTTGGTTTTCTCTGGGGTCTATTATTTTCTTTCTCAATAGTATTGTGGGTTTTTATAATCTCATTTTTAAGAGTTTCGCTACCGTGTTTCCCCGAAAATAGGACGTACCCCAGAAATAAGCCCTAGTCCAATTTTCATACCTGCACCAAATATAAGCCCTACTCCGAAAGTAAGCCCTACTTAAGAACCTGTGCAGCTGCCTGCCTGGCCATTCTGTCTGCTCGCTGACAACATGAGGTGGTAGGGGGGTGCCGCAGTCACAAAATGAGGTGGGAGGGTGGAGGATGAAGCTTTTCCTCCTTACTCACCACCGGAACAAAGCAGGAGGCTGATCAATGCCCCAGTGCCATGGCCACTAAGCAAGGCAGTGGGGGGCGGTGCAGGATGAAGCTCCAACAGTATCCTTGGTTGCCCAGCCTGCAGAGTCCTGATGCTGGTGGAGGCTGAGCAGAGCAGCCCCTTCCCCGTCTCCCCTCACTTCCTGAAAGAATCCCTTCACTAACCTGCTTTCCAGTTCATTCTCCACCGCTGCATGCAGGGCAACAAAAGAAGCCTGTGGAACTACTGGTAAAAAAAAAAAGTTTAATTAGATCTTCCAACTTTGCAAGATCTTTTTTTCATGAGAAGTTGGAAGGTCAGATTGATTTTTTTTTTACCTTAGTCCCTCAGACTTATTTTTGTTGCCCTGCTCGTGGAGAACAGAACTGGAAAGGAAGTTAGTGAAGGAATGTGGTTGCACTGGGATGGGAGTTAGGATTTGGCATCCACAATGCCAATTCTAACCCTTACCCCACCCCAGGGCATTCACAATGCCAAATCCTAACCCCCACCCCAGCACTCTATAAAATAAAGATCAACTGCTGCAGAGATGGTTACAATTCAAGTATGAAAACTTTTTAAGAGTTTACGAGCTCCTAATACTAAAACTAGTACAACATTTCATTTTACAAAGAAAAAGGGAAATAGAGGAAAAGTATTAAGA